TTTATAACGCTAGATTAAAGGCAATGTTAATTAAGTGTTATTAATTTTATATATTTTTATAATCAAAAATTATCCGCACTCTTGTATAAAGAGATGATATGGCATAATTGCAAATAATTTTCTTAATCACCGTCGTTTTTTTTTTATTAAAAAATCACCGAAGAATCGATTTTGGTTAATATTTAATTCATTTATAGGTTTTTACTCAAATTGGCAGCTCCGTTTGTAAAAAAAAAATAGGTTATCTGGTTGTTTTTGTTTAGTGGCATATCAATCTATGAGTTATTTAATGATGAAATTTAAATGTTTTTTAAGCAATTTTATATTTTGGAGATAATAATGGTTTTAGTAATAAAAGTTTTACTAATTAACCCATAGCTGGGCGAAAAAGATATGGATTAATAGCTTTCCCAAGGGTATTTGCGCTTAATAACGAACTCCACTGGAATTGGAACTCGGCACTCCGATTAACAATTCCGAGCCATTATTCCTTACACCACCCGCACATCTGAGCATACAGCACTTGTTATTTCGAAACGGTCACCCATCCGTTGCTTAACTTCGATGATCGTACGGCAACTGGTGTTTCGACGTCATGTGGCCGTAACCCCCCCCGCTACCAAAAAATAAGGAAAATGTTTTGAGAATAATTTTTATAGACTGACATTCATTAGACCATCTTGAAGCAATTGTCAAAATCGAAAAATATTGACCTTTTCATTATAAATTGATAACAACGTTAATATCTCGGGGTGGGGGAGTTCTGTTCATAATAATGACAGTGTCAAATAAATCCATGGCTTTTTAGATTTATCTGTATTCAGGTTTTATTTATAAATATCAAGTCTCCATCTCCACTATTAATCTTTCTCGTCTCTCTGCCACAATTCAATAATGTGGATTTGGGGATATCACGTCATTTTTTAGAATTTAAATGCCTTAACAAATGTAAATATTCACTTTTTCTTCATTTAAGACAATGGTTCTTAACCTGGGTTCGATCGAGCACCAGGGGTTTGGTGAGTCATTCTTTGCTAATAATGAATTCCTCGACGAAATCATTGAGTTCAGCAGAGCCAGGTTCAACAGCAACTCTTCAGAACAATGACGCTCTTGTATTACTAAATCGTAGCGTGTCCTCTTATTGCTAAGAAAGTCCTTGAGATACGCATACCGTTTGTTACAACCTATCTTTGCGAGCAAAACTTTTCGAGGGATGATAGACATGAAAACGAAGAAAAGGAACAGACTTCGTTACGAAAATGATATGAGAGTGACACTTGCCAAGGTGAAACCGCGCGTTTCTGTTCTTGTCTCTGAAAGGGAACATTAAAATTCACATTGATTTGCAGTAAATATTCATTATGTTTTTATTTGAAAGTCATGTTTTTATTTGAAAGTCATGTTTTATTTGAAAGTCATGTTTTATTTGAAAATCATGTTTTTATTTGAAAATCATTTTTTTTTATTTGAAAGTCATATTTTGTTGATTTTGTTCTTTGAATAGAGTGATTTCGTGTGCAACTGATTCATGGTTAATTTGTGCACTAATAAAATATATACCTATGTTTTGAAGAAATTATATTTTATTTGTTTAATTACGAAGGGTTCAGTGAAAGTACGGATGAAACTTGTGGGTTTCAGTATCGCCAACAAAGTTAAGAATCATTGATTTAAGATAAATAATTATTATCCCCAATTTTTATTCAAGTGCCTCAGAAAAAAACAAAAAACAAAAAAACTTTAAACAAAAAATATTTAAAATTTACATACGTATTACGCACGTATCCCTGACACAAGTACATTTTTTCAAATAAAAAAAATAAGTACAGGTAATTCTTTAAGGAGAGAAGGATCGATTTAATATTGTTTATGTTATGAACATCTCCCTACATCTAAATTGATAATTAAAAAAAAAAAAATTCTGGAAACTGTTATCGATTGAGGAAGTTCAAACGAAAGCTAATCTGCAAAAAAAATTTGAGGGTCATGTTCACTCACATCATAAAGAGACATGGCACATAGAAGAAGAAGAAGAAGAAGAAGAAGAAGAAGAAGAAGAAGAAGAAGAAGGAGGAGGAGGAGGAGGAGGAGGAGAAGAAGAAGAAGAAGAAGAAGAAGGAGAAGAAGGAGGAGGAGGAGGAGAATAATAATAATAATAATAATAATAATGAATGAATGAATGAATGAATGAGTATTCTTCATTTAAAATTGAAAAAAGGCGCGGATGTAATAACCATAGAAAGAGTCTCGATAGTTATAGATGACCCAGAATTCGGCTTTTTTGTGGTAAGTGGTTAGTATGACAATTTTATGGCTACTATTATTCTAAAATTTCTGATATTGTGATTTCCTTACGAAGTCATCCTTACTATGATTTTTCATTAGTAGATTATTTATCTACTATTCTTTTTACCTCTTTTCTCTCAGTGAAACAAAAGAATTAGTGACTATAGGATGACGTATTGTAAATTACCATAACAATCCTTATCATTTAGTGAAGAAAAATTATCACCAATATGAGGTCATTTCATAGATTCTAAATGCTTCCTCACGACGGTAAAATGCGAGATATGATCAATAGTTAACAGGCTTTTGGTGGAAGGTGGCAGCAGAAATTGTTCATTTTCATCGGATACTGATAGGCGTCAGGGCAACGGGGAAATTATAACGTGAGTAGCCGTTCTCCAAGAATCAGGCTTCGGTGTCATACGCCTGTCTCGCCAAAAAGGGACAAAGCTTTGAATAAACCACCAAGACAGCGAAATGTCAATCTACAAGTGTTTTTATAAGCTTCGTGTTTTTGAGAGCTTCAAATTAATTTAACTTCAAAGTCTATCTATCTATCTATCTATCTATCTATCTATCTATCTATCTATCTATCTAATAAATAAAAATAAATGTTTAATGATTTTGTGTCTACTTTGTTTTCACAGAAATTACATCCATTCTGAAGGAGATTTAATATAAAAACTGAATTAATATTCAGAAATCATACTTTAAACTTATTTAAGAAACTAGTAAATCATTTAAACGTATAGAATTATTTGGTAAATTAATATGCAACTGTTGAATAAACATTCTTCATATCAGATGTTAATAACATCAACTAATCAATGTAAAATGTCAAAAATACTAACCAAATACCAATACACCCATATAAAAGGTTACTAATACTACCAGGAGATTAATACAAATTTATATTAAATCCAAATTAATCTTACAAATAGAAAGATATGCCATATATGGTGCAACACAGTACAACTAAAATCTAAGAAAAAGCATTGTCAAATTCCAAAATTTAACAAGATTGTAAGATAAAAGTAAAAAAAAATGTTGACAATTTACTGTTAATTCACTTCTTTGATTTAATAAAGAATTTTTTATTAAATCTGATAATTTCCAATTTTTGTAAGCACAGAAAACAGGATTTAGGGTAAAGATCTCCATGGGTAAAGATCTCCATAGGTAAAGAGCTCCATGTCCTTGCCGTTTTGTAAAATTTTCCATTTCACCTTAGGAGCCTTATTATTATCTTTTAAACTTCAAAAATATTTAGAAAGTAATTTATTATTTCTGTAAGTACTATTGGTGAAGGACAAGATATGTTTATAACATCTAGACTTTTACCACAATAAAAATGTTCAGTTCATTATTTACATTATTCGGACTATTGTTCTCATCTTTGTCGCCATATTTATTACAACGTTTCGGCCGTTGTACGCTCCGGCCTTCTTCAGGTTGGAACGTCGAACTGAACCCTTTATTTCTAGTTCCACGTGTTAACGGATGTCAGTTATCTCCTGCTAATTTCTTTTTCTGACTTTTCCACTGCCTTAACTGGATATTGAACTCACACTTTTTGGGTTCTGTTACTGGATCTAACTAACGCCTTTATCCACTGTGCCATGTGTCCTTGAGGACAACTGTGCGCGAATTTCTGGGTATTATAAACCTAATATCTTCAGCAAACAATTTTTTACCAGAGATCATATTGCAATTTTTGCTGTTATCATTGCATGTTTTACCAGAGCTTATATTGCAACTTTTTGTTGTTATTATCGCTTTTCCCTGGCACTCCTTATTACTGGCTCCCATATTGTATTCATTTCTATGCTTGGTCGGCTCAGGAAAATGTACAGCTATGGCTCTTCTTTCCGGGTTTAGGCTTAGAATTTTTTGAACAACCGTCCTAAACTTCGAACCTGTTTTGAATTCAGAGTTATCCTTCTCATAGGTTGGTTACCAACCAAAGTCAGCACGTCTACTTTGTCCTGCTCTTAACCCTTAGATAGACAAGAAATTGGTTCATATCTTTTCAAGGGGTAATTTGTGCAAAATAAATAAATAAATAAATAAACAAATGCGACGCCCTCGGCTGGAATTTGAACCCGAGATGTCCATTTTCCACCTCGATAGCCGCTGCACTCCTGCACCTTGATTGTTAATATTTTCGCCCGTTTTTTTTATTCATGTCTCTCATTTCCACTTTATGTTTGCACACACATTGTGTATTAACGTGTGCGTAGAGAAGATACATTCAGAGGAAGATGGTTGTAAGTAATTAATATTTGATTAGAAAACAAGAAAGAGCCACATAACAGCATTAGTTTTCAGAATTACTTGACAAACGGGTTTTAGCTTTTAATAATTCATGGAAACTATGTTTGACAGTTCGTATTGCTCGCCGCAAGTCATTAAAGATAAAATGGCAGAACATATATATAGATGCAAACCTTTTCAGAATACATTGACATAACCTTTCATTTGCCCCATTATTCAATCATTAAATTATTTTCTTTTTGTTTTCTATGACTTAAAGCTACCGTTCTTCTGTATTGTGTATGCCGTTTTGATTATGTTATTGATACAGGTGCTGAATAGAGTGAAACAAGTGACAATCTAACAGTGGAAAATACACCTCTTGTAGAAGAACTTATACAAGTCGTTCACGCATTGCGTTATATTTGGAACCATTTTTTTCTTATATAAATCATAGCTTACGGCCACATCACGTTGAAACACCGGTTTCCCTACGATCAACAAAGTTAAACAACGTTGAGCCTGGTCAGTACCGAGATGGGTGACCGCTTGAGAATACCAGGTTCTTTTAACTTAGATGTGCCAGTGGTGTAAAGGATAATGGCTCGGAATTGTTAACCGGAGAGCCAAGTTCCATTTCTGGTCGGGGTTGTCATATTCACTTACACGCAAATACCCTTGGGAAAGGTATTAATCCACATATTCTTACACAGTTATAGTTTAATTAGTAAAACTTCTATCACTAAATTATTAATATAAAAAAAAACTTCTTACAATCTTACAAATATTTTCTGGCTTTAATAACATGCAAGGGGTTGATAAGCCGTTAAAAACGAATCTATCCATAAATCGTGATATAAATTATTATTTGAATGAGATCATTGAATAAAAACAGCTTCAAGTGAATGAATCTTTAGTTCATAAAGACAATAATTTTATCAGAAATTGGAGAATTTACCCAATAAAAAAATCACATTAATTGAAAACTTCCAAAAGCAGCAACAACTAAAATGGATAGTAACTCAAACTGGACGGAAAAATAATGATAAAACAAGATGCTAACTTTTCATACGATCTTAAACAAAAGGTTAGTAAGGAAACTCCCAGTGTAATAATGATAGACTTATGAAGTATGATTTCCCGAAAAATCTGTTTTAAAGAACGTTGTTTTATGTCACTCGATAGTCGCTATAAATGCCAAATGTTTATTATATTACACTATTACATTTACCATTAGCTTTACCATTACCGTTACATTTACCTTTAACATTACATCTATCATTAGCTTTGCCAGTACCATTATATTTACCATTACATTTACCATTATAATTACCATTTCATTACTCTTACCATTACCTTTGCACCATTACATTAAACATTACCATTACATCTATCATTAGCTTTACCATTACCATTATATTTACCATTACATTTACCATTATAATTACCATTACGTTTACCGTTTCCATTCCCTTTTCCATGACATTTACCATTATAATTACCATTACTTTTACCATTACATTTATCATTATCATTGTCATTACATATCTGTTACCATTACTTTTACCATTATCATTACATCTATCATTAGCTCTGCCATTACCTTTATATTTACCGTTACAATTAACATTACCTTTTACCTTTTTCATGACGTTTACCATTATAATTACCATTACCTTTACCAATACCATTACTTTAATCATTAATATTGCCATTACATTTGCACGACTATTGTCATTACCAGTGACATACTGCAATATTATGCAGGAACCGTTTTCTAGGTTCTAGCAATTCGTAGTAAAGCATAATCGGCCATTCGTATCCGCGGATATCGCACCCGACAATTCTGCTAACCGAGGGTCAAAAATATTCGAAAAATATTTTAAGAAGATTTTAAAAAGAAATTTTATTTATCCGTAGGCCAAGCAATAAGCTGAATCCACCCGAATAAAGAAATGTGGAAGTATACTTTACTCTAACTATATGTCATTTTGCAGTTCTTCAATTTTACTCCACTACTCATTGTTTTTATCAACATTTTGAAGTGAAAATTTTTCATTTTTTTGTCTATTATTAAATAGTTTTCGAATAGGCTATTAAAATCCAATGATTAGCTGATTTTTGATCGATGTTTTAAAATCTAGGTCTTTTTCGCTGGAAAATTTTCTAATGCAAATCCTTACGATTTTTTTACTGTTTGACTTTCTGGAATGAGGAGTTATCATTATTTGAATTTTTCTGGAATGAGGAGTTATTATTTGATTTTTTTTCTGGAATGAGGAGTTATCATTATTTGATTTTTTTCTGGGATGAGGAGTTATCATTATTTGATTTTTTCTGGGATGAGGAGTTATTTATTTAAGTAATAGGTGGATATTGGATAAGATAACGGTTTACCTTAGAATTGAAGATTGCAGTAATCGGGAAGCATCCTCCCGGGAGTCGGTTCCACGATGTAGCAGTTCTTGAACAGAAGCTGTTCGATTAGAACTTCCTTCTCAACAATGGAATACGAAAAGAAAGACGAGTCGACTCTGTGTAAGTGGCATGGCGGCTCCTAGCTCCGATGGTCTGCGACCCGAAGAAACTAAGGAATATAACTCGTTGGAACATTTGCATAGACAATAGCAACAGAGTAGTAAGAAACTTGCAACGCTTCGTCTTTGGGAAAGGGACTGTAAGGGGTGGGGAAAATAATTCATAACCCACAAGGCCACTTAGAAATCAAGACAGGAAGATGAGTTTTGGGCGGCTCTAGCACAGATATGGCAACAATGTTTACCTTTGCTGTGGCCCGGTAATGAATTCACAATACTTTGGATCTAATCACTGGATCTAACCACCGTCTTTATCCACTGGGCCATGTGTCCATGAAGACACCAATCACCTGAAGAAGTATACAAAGGCCAAAACGTTCTAAATAGGACAATGAAGATGAGGATAACAGTCCGGATAATGTAAATAATGCAAGTAATCATAATACCTCATCTCAGAAATATAGACAGATATATAGAGAGACATAGACATAAAGGCCGAAGCGTACAACGGCCGAAATGTTGTGAATATGGCAATGAAGATGAGGATAACAGTCCGAATAATGTAAATAATGCAAGTAATCATAAGACCTCATCTCAGGGATATAGATAGTTACTAAGAAAAATATATCTGTAAAAGTACACTCAAGTAATGGTTTTATTTTGTATCATGTATTTTTAAACAAATTTTTTCTTTGTTTCACGGCACATCAACTCCTTATGGGTCATTTCATGACGCCATTTAATTTTCTTGGGATCACCAGTAATTTCATTTACATAAATGTATGTTTGTAATTTCTTTACTATGAAAATGTTTGGCTGGTATTTTTACTATAAAAATCTTTTTTTATACTTTCATAGTATTTTGACACCAGTTTTTTTTTTTTTTGGTGGTTGGGGGGTAACTATAGTTGGTTTCCTAACAGGTGCTACCACCCCGGTTCAAGTTGCAATTAAGTAAAATAAAAACCGATGAAAGAAAGAAAGAGAAAAAATTACTGGTAGAACGATGGAAAGGAAGACGGAAAAGAAAGCAAGCAAAATGAAAATTAAATAAATAAATAATTATTAAGAGAAAGATAGAAAAGAATGAAAGAAAGCCACATGGAGATTAAAGAAAGAAAGAAAAAAGATATATTCAGAAAAAGACAGAAGAAAAGAAAGATGGAAAAGAAAGAAAGAAAGCAAAATGAAAATCAATGAAAGAGAGAAAGAAAGAAAGAAAGAAGATTTATCGATAGAAAGATGCAAGGGAAGAAAGTGGAAAAAGAAAGAAAGCAAGAATTAAATAAATAAATAATGAATTCTGGAGAGAAAGGAAGTAAAGAAGAGAGTAGAGCTAAAAAGAGATTAACTGAGTTTATTTTGGCCTTGAGAAAAATATACAATTATGAATTACCATCTGAATACGGAACACATAACAAAACGTTAGTGAACCCATTCAGTTCATACAGGCGACGGAATAAGCTCAAGTTATGTCAGCATCTTTTTATTTATTAACGTCACCACTTTCAAATGACCGCCATTCCCCCAAAAAGCCGCTGTGGATTTTGTTCCGGATTATCGCTAAAAGACAACTTAATGAAACGTCAAAACAAATATAAAATAGCATATATATGCAGAGGTTCCACAAATTGAGAGATAATATCTATGAGAAACAACGTAACAGACGCCTGCACTCCTTATGGGAGTAAAAAGAAAAAAAACAAAAATCAAGACGTTCTTGAAGTAAAGTGATAAGAACGAGGTTATCAGGTCAAATTACCGTCTGCTTCTTACATTTTTCCCTTGTTCTCATTTATACCTCTTTTCATCATGATTGTAGCAACAAGCTTTTTTTTTCTACAAAAATGATCTATTAAAAACTAATGTCAAATAGCCTTTTAGCGAATTCATTTTGCCTCATTAATGATTCTTTTGACGTTCAGTATTTTTTTCTTTTCTTTGAAGCCGTCTCCGACTTTCTCGCATTGTTTGCGCATGCGTATGTTTGAGTGGCTTTTGAAACAAGGTTGTTGAAGAACCGGTTGTAATTTGTGACTTTGTTCTTCTTTACACCAGGCGAAGAAGATGAAAACATATTTTCTTTCTTTCTTTCTATCTTTCTTTCTTTCTTTAGCGATAATTTATTTCCATTATTTCTTTCGTTATCATTCTACGAAAATTTTTTTCTTTCTTCATAATTCATTAGTCACACTCTTTAGCATTTGCTATTATCTCAATGTTGGACTATAGGATTGTACTTGAAGAATGGAGTCAGGGAAACAAAAATAATAAATATACATGAAGTGTTTCGATCAAATTGCAGTCGGATTAAGAAACAATTCGGACTACAGGACTTTAAATGCAGGATGGATTGAAAGAAACATAATGAAATAGTAAATATTGTAAGTCTGATGAATGGACTAGTTGGTTGTATTATCAACCTATATGGGTTATTTAATGCGTAAATCTAAATATTTTGTACGGAATTTTATTTTTGTGGGGAGATAATAATAGTTTTAGTGAGACATATCATACTAATTAACCCATAGTTGGGGGAGAGAAGAGGTAGATTTATACCTTTCCCAAGGGTATTCGGGAATTTTGGTGTATTTTTCTTGATCGAATAGTAACATGCGATGAGAAATGGATCTTTTATGACATCGTAAACGATCGGCTAAATGGCTGACGTCCTGAGTATGACAATAAACTACATCCGTGTCCTGTGTAAGACGATAAACTACATCCAACAGAAAAGCCTCTGATCATGAGGTTTTGAGAAGCATGGAACCACCTTTTAGTTGCTGGTGTTCCCAAGGTGTTCCCAAGGTGTTCCCGGGGTGGTAGTACCTGTTAGGGTCCCAGCTATGGGCAAATAGTTAAACACCAAAGTATGAAAGTATAAAAATAGGTATAAATGCCATTAATACATTTTTGTAGAAAATATTAGCATCAATATAAATATGTAAATAATGCGATGTCTTTTTGTTGTGGTACGATCCACCTAATTTACATAGTGGAGTACCGACCATATAAATATGGGTTGGT